CATCATCCATCCATCCATCATCCATCCATCCATCATCCATCCATCATCCATCCATCATCCATCCATCATCCATCCATCCATCCATCATCCATCCATCCATCATCCATCCGTCCATCCATCATCCATCCATCATCCATCATCCATCCATCCATCCATCATCCATCATCCATCCATCATCCATCCATCATCCATCCATCCATCCATCCATCCATCATCCATCCATCCATCCATCCATCCATCCATCCATCCATCATCCATCCATCATCCATCCATCATCCATCCATCATCCATCCATCATCCATCCATCCATCATCCATCCATCATCCATCCATCCATCATCCATCCATCCATCATCCATCCATCATCCATCATCCATCCATCATCCATCCATCCGTCCATCCGTCCATCCGTCCATCCGTCCATCCATCCATCATCCATCCATCCATCCATCATCCATCCATCATCCATCCATCATCCATCCATCCATCATCCATCCATCCATCCATCATCCATCCATCCATCATCCATCCATCATCATCCATCCATCCATCCATCCATCATCCATCCATCCATCCATCCATCATCCATCCATCATCCATCCATCATCCATCCATCCATCATCCATCCATCCATCATCCATCCATCCATCCATCCATCCATCCATCCATCCATCCATCCATCCATCCATCCATCCCTTCCCTCTTGCAGTGGGAAACCACTGGAGTGATATTGCAGAACACCTCTCTTTTCTATAGAAGAATTCTATTTAAATGCTTGCTTGTTGGACACAGCAAAAATGGAGTTTATGTGTTCAATTTATCCAGGGCTCTCTGCTATGGGTGGCTGAATTTTTAAAGGAAAATCACTCTCTTGTGTTTTCCTGCCCTCTGCCTCCGTGTCCCTGCTCTCCCACTGTAATTATCCAGTTACTGACTCTGCACATCAGGTGTTTAATGTGGGGGAGGAGGGGGCTGAGCAGTTCAATTAATTAAGCCAAGTTGTAGCAGATCATCATCATTTTTCAAGGTGTCAATTGAGAGATCTCTGGGAGCGATGCAGATGAGCCAGGACCACCTGGGAATTCAGGCTCAGTTCCCATCACAGCATTTCCCAGCCTGTGGAAATGCTTGTCAGAGCTTCAAGTTAACCCCACAGCAGCTGTAAAGGATATTTGCAGGATTGTCCTGAAAGTCTTAATTTCCATCCCTGTAGCACAGAAAAAAACCCCCAGTGAACCCCAGAATTTTTCTGCTGTGTTGTGCTGAGAGGATTTTTGTGGGGCTTTAAAAAAATCAGTTGCAAACTAAAAATTAACTCTAATTAAACTATGGAATGCTGCAATTGGAGCAGGAAAGGTGGGGAAGGCAGAAAAGCAAATATCTCCTATGAAGCACAGAGACAAATGTGATTTCTGTGGGGTTTTTATGTGTCCAGGTAAGAAAACCCTCTGTGTTTATGCCCAGCTTGATTAATATGAAGCCACACAATTTCTGGTTTGCATCTGTGTTTTATCCCACCTGAACCCAGTCTGGAGCTCTGTCAGTATTTGCTGGCTTTTAAAAAGCAGCAGCAGCAGCAGCAGAGGCATTTCCAGCCCTGTGGCTCTGGAACTGGAGAGGTTTTATGAGGTGCTCACACCTTGGAGTGCCCAGAGAGCTGAGGGACATCGTGTTCCCTGCCTGGGCACAGCCTGTGTGTGGCAAACTTCTCTGCTAAGGACTGCAAAGATGCTTTAATTCACCCCAGGATCAAGCAGGAAGGTTTATCATTTTTAAGGTCCAGCTCTGCTCCCTTTATGAATTCTTTCTGGCTGTTTTTTTTGGCTGTTTTGTAAATAAAGTGTGATTATATTTCTTTCTTTGGAGGGCAGGAGTTCCTGCAGCCCCTTGCTCTGTGGCTTGTGCATCTCTGTGACTCGATGCTGACTGGGTTTATTGTTTTACCACCACTCACCCTGCAGCTGCTCGTGGCTTTATCACCATTTATTCTGCAGCTGTTGGGTGCCAAATCAGGGGCTGGGCTCTGCTCACCTGGGAGGACGGTGGGGCAGGACAGCCCAGGGATGCTCAGCTGCAGTTTGGGATCTCTCTGCAGTGAGACCAACACCCTGAGGTCACAAAAAGCCTCTTCTGGGCCTCTGGAGGCTGCTGGAATGAGCAGAAAGTGTGAGCAGAATGAAGAAAACAAGCAGGTAGGTTTAGTTACATGTTTTAAATCTATTTTATCTTAGTAGAATAACATTTTTTTCTCTTTGGAGAGCCCTGTTGTGGTGGTTTGCTGTCTTAACAGAAGAGGCAGCAATGTCTTTGATGTCTTTCTATAAAGTTTTATCTCTGTGCCCTGGCTGACTCAGAGTCCTGTCACAGTGAATTTTATTTTAATTAACCCAGTGCAGAAAGATTGGTTTGAGGAGAGCAGGGCTCCCTGGCCAGGGCCTGCTGTAGCAGGACCAGGATTTGTTAAACTGAGCTCTGAGCATCGCCTGCTCCTGGCTGGGGCTCCTGGTTTAGGCTGGGCTTTTTCCAGATGTGACCCATCCTAGCAAAGCCTTTTTAATCAGGAGCTCCTTCTCTGATTTTGGCATTTCACCTGCCTGGGCTGGGCTGTGTTTGGGTCTGTTTCTGCACCAAGCTCCAGGAGCAAACAGGGAATTCCAGGGGAGGCATTAAAAGGCTGTAACCCTCCTGTCTGCAGGGGTTCTGTGTGAGCAGAAATGCAGGAGAGAAGTGAGGGGTGACAGAACTTCTTCACTCCCTTCCTCCTCCCTGGAATTTGAAGTTTACTCCAGAACTTAATTTTTGTCACTGTGAAAAGTCTTGATTTTTCAACCTTGGTTTTCAGACAGTTCACTTTTATTCTTTTGTGTTTTTGTCTTACAGTAGAACTGTTTCTTCTCTCTTCCTTATTTATTTACTGGCAGGAAATCCAGCTAATTTCCCAGGCTAAATAAGCAATTTTGTTTTAATCTCATCCTCTGTTCCCACTCCTTGGTCATCCATGCAATCCTTGTATACACTGAAATTCATCTGTCTTGAGCAAAAATATACAAAATTCTACAAGAGATTGAAAATTGAGTTCTTTGTGTTCCTACCTATTGGAAAAATAATGTGTAATTGGACTGAACTTTTTTTAATTGCAAATTCCCATCCTACCTAAAGCACGCTTGGTTTCCTCCTCTTTTACTTCTGAGTTCCTGGTTTTTAACAGAAATTCCTGCTGTTGCCTCCAAGGAGCAGCTTAACAGGGCCCAGGTCCCCAGAGGCAGCAGGGAAACTGAGTCACGCTGTGGCTCCATGGGTTCAGTTGGGTTATTTGGGTTCCAGTTGGGTATGAGGAGAGCTCCTTGCTGCTGAGCTGGGGCTGGGAAGGCTCTGCTGTGTTTGGGGTGTGGGGGGTCTGCAGGAGCACAGCAGCTCTGCCTGGAATCGCAGGATCTGTGAGGATGGGAAACAGAAATGCGGGAATGCAGACGAGCTCTCCCAGCGTCCCAAAGAGCTTTGGGAAAGGGGAAAAGCAGCAGCACCTCCCTCAGAGCACTCAGGACAGCTTTATTCCCTGCTCTCCTGCTGCCAGACCCTGCTCTGCTCCAGCCCAAGGATCAGCCAAGCCTGGCTCAGGCTCCAGGGCTGTTCCCAACACATTTTCTGTCTCTCCTTCCCAGCCCAGGGGACAGGAGCTCTCCTGGTCTGTCAACACCTTGCATTTCTCTCTTTATTTGCCCAGTCGCTCCCAGAGCTCTCAGAGGTGGAAATCTGTGCATTTGCACAGGTGTTACCTCCCCCCCAAAAGGGATTTTGCTCAGGTTATTCTCCATGAGAGACTTCTGGAGTCCCTTGGCCTGTGACTCAGGAGGATCTGCTCTGCTGCAGCCTTGTATTTATTTGCTGCCTGTTAAATTTTCTCCTTTAATATTCTGTTGTC